CAGCAGCAGCAGCGGCAGCAGCAGCAGCAGCAGCTTCATTGCTGGCGGAATGAGGAGTACCCGCAGCTGCAACACTCCAAGCAGCAGCAGCAACAACAATGGCCATGGCAGCAGCAGCAGTGACTATAACGCCCATGGCAGCAGCAGCAGCAGCAGCAGCAGCAGCAGCAGCAGCACTAGCAGAAGCAGCGGCTACAAAGTGGAGGACTCAGCAGACGCTTTTCCAGCCCTCCAGGCCCCCAACGGGCGACGTGGCACTCCACAGCAGCAGCAGCAACAGCAGCAGCAGCAGCAGCAGCAGCGCAAGCCTCTTACACTTGTGGACATCCGCGCAAAAGCCAACAAGAACAGCAGCAGCAGCAGCAGCAGCAGCAGCACAGGTGTGGATCCCTGCCCCGACCCGCGGCAGCATCAGCATCAGCATCAGTAACAGCAGCAGCAGCAGCAGCAGCAGCAGCAGTTTGTATGTGTGTCTTTGCTGCAGTGTCCTGCCCCCAGTGCACTTACGGCAACGACCGCTCCCGCAGAAAATGTCAACTTTGTGACTTCCCTTTGATTTAAATAATTTCGCAATGAGGCCCTTTAGGGGCCCCCAGGGGGCCCCCAGGGGCCCCCCTGGGGGCCCCTGGCGCTCTTGGGGTCCCCTAGGGGCCCCCAAGAGGGCCTCTAGGGGCCCTTGAAGAGGCCCCCACTTGGGGTCCCCTGGGGGCCCCCTAGGGGCCCCCTGAAGGGCCTTAGGTGCGCAGGGCGCCCCTAAGAGGCCCCCCTTGGGGGACCCCAGAGGGCCCCAAGAGGGTCTTAGTGGGGCCCTTTGAAGTCCCTCTTGGGGGCCCCCCTGGGCTCTACGAGGGGCCCCCTTGGGGGGACCCTGGGCCCCCAAGAGGGTCCCCCTTGGGGGCCCCCTGGGGCCCCTCAGGTGGCGAGACTTCTGCAAGGCAGGTGCATGACGAAAGCCCTAGAAGGGGCCCCCTGAAGGGCCCCTAGAGGGGCCCCTAGAAGGCCCTTTTGGGGGCCCCAATAGGGTACTAAAGCTCGATTCGAGGCCCCTTGGATGGCCAATGGGGGCCTCTTAAGAGGCCCTAAAACTTTTATGGGGGCCCATCAAGGGGCCCCTCAGGGGGCCCCTCAAGAACGCACAATTTCCCTCTTAAGGGGCCCCTAAAGCCCATTTGGGGGTCCCTGTGGCCCTTGGGGGCCCCCTAGGTGTACCCCACTTTCTTGAAGCGGGCCCCATAGGGGGGCCCTGGGGGCCCCTGAAGGGGCCCCTGAGGGCCCCTGAGTGGGTCCCTGGGGACTCCTGAGGGGCCCCCTGAGGGCCCCTCAGGGGGCCCCTGAGGGGCCCCCCTGAGGGGGCCCTGCGGGCCCTTTTGGGGGCCTCTGTGTGGGCCCCCGGGTGGGGGCCCCCTCTGCTGCAGCAAAGAAGCCCCAGGGCAGTGTTGCTGCGCTAGGGGCCCCCTCGGGGGGCCCCCAAGATGGCTGGGGGCCCCCCCAGGGGAGGCCCCTGGGGGCTAGTTCTTTAGGTGCTGGTGGCAGCAGCACCAATACGCACTGTGCAATAGTAGCAGCAGCAGCAGCGTCAGCTGCTGCTGCACACGTTTTTATGGGTATTCCCTGCCCTCTACTGGGGGGAAGGGGAGTTGCACGCAGCAGCAGCAGCAGCAGCAGCAGCTGTGGCTGCTGCTGCTGCAGCAGCGGCAGCTGCAGCGGC